TTAGTTCGGAGTGACGATACTTGTGAAGGAGTTTTGCTTTCTAACAATTTTACTCTGAATAAAATCATTTTTCTGGATAAAAGTTTTAATATTTCTCAGGCCAAAAAAATAATAGTCTTGTTTCCTGCTACCAGCCAGAAAAAAATAGGGTAGGTAGGTAGGAAAATTATTTTATTTTTTAATTTTATTTTTTTTTTCCAACGGTATTTTTTGGATATGAACTACTATAAAACCAAATTACCGTAATTTTCGGGTTATAGGTCGATACTTTTTTTCTCAGAACCGCTGGGGTCGCCCAATATACGAATTCGACCTTTCTAAGGCTCAAGTTTACGAAAAATGCCCCAAAATCAATAATAAAAATTTACGTCAATTTCAAAGCAAATCTGTGCCACTTTCATAACTTTTTTCATTATCTTACGCAGAAAAAATTAATGCCCAGGTAAACAGTAAAATATTTATTCTATAGCTTTCTTACAAAATAAATTCCATTAATTATCCGTTGATGACAAAGGAAAACAACATTGCTTCATCTATTAAATAATTCCTCAACGTATTATCCATTAACATCATGCGGTATCCATCTTGTGAAGTTAGGAAGTCGCTACCGTTTACTAAAAGTAAAACCGCAACCGTATCAAAATTTAAAATATGGAAAAAATTTTAAGATCACAACTGTAGTGTTTTTACCATTTCTTAGTAGCGATAAATTGAAATAGTATATTAAATATTTTTTATTGTCTTAAGCAAAGAATTAGCAATAAATACGGGTGACAGAAATATAATTTACATTGAATTACCGGCATGCAAAGATTGGCTTCTAACAGAATTTTAATTGTCTGAAAGATAAAGGGATTTACACTGTGTACACAAAGGTGTAACACCTGTGTTCAGTTGGTTTAAACCTGCGGGGCATGATTATAACAAACCCACGTGCCGTTATTGAATCTACACTACATGAGCATGCTCCCATATAAATATGATGAATTATGGCTTTGTCATTCTTGAGGGTATTAGTGTTACACATCATTGAACAAACAAAGCCGTGAAATTCATGTTGACAGTCAAATTGTGAATGTACTCTCAATTAAATTTATAAATTAAACTTATTAGAGTGTTTATATGATTTCAATTCTTTACTGTTGCTTGATATATACATTCAATGGTCATTTGCGTGTTTTAGCGAATCCCTGGAGAAGAAAAATAAAAATGGCGGATATCGAAGTAATTGTCGTCAACCGGTAAATAATGTCTGAATAAAGTTAACAGGAATGTGTCCAAGTTGTTCTGAAATCGGAATTACTTTTCTTTGGTCTCGGGTATTTCCCGAATATTATAGCTGTAAAATAATAATGTACTTACGTGTTATTTATGCCTTTGATTTAACAACGGTGTGAAACTACAGAGGCATTGAACAGGCAAGTTGGAAAAAGATAAGTAGTAACACAATTCAAAGAAGTTTTAGCTGCTTTTTTAAAAAAAAAAAAAACTTTATTTAAATTCTGTACTCATTAAAATACCTGTTTAATTTCTTGATACGTTTATGTCACGGAATAACCCCGGTAATTTTAGGGTTTACCTGCTCTGATACGTTGTATCTGCGTAAGCATCTTTAGAAAATGGGAAACAAAGCCTCGTCCTATATAGTAAGTTCGTCCTATCTTAGGATTTTTCAAAAATTAAGGCTGAAAATGAGCCTTTCGACCTATATACCCCATCGACCTATAACCCAAAAATTACGGTAAACATGTCATAGCCAGGTAGATATTATCTTTTTAAATGAAATTCCATGTCTTTTGATGCACAACTCAAGTGGAATTTTATGTAAGTCCATATTCTATAAATATATTTCATGTAATACAACTTGAGTATAATTTTTTTTTCACTTTTGAAACATGAAATTCCTAAAATTTTGAATTTTTCCCCCAAAAGCCCAAAAAAACTTAAGGGTCGGGTGCAAAAAAATAGGGTAGGTCGGGTAGCAGGAAACAAGATTATTTTTTATTTTGGCCTCATTAATACACAACAAGATTGCCACTTTTCTTAAGGATTAAGAATAAGGTTAAAATTTGTGAAAGTACAAGGATATGTCAATCAAACCCACCAAAAAATTTGAAGTTTTCATAACTTTTAAATGAAATAATATTTTTAACTAATTTTTGTGTGAAATGCTATTTAAATATATAAGTCGTTATATTATAGAGAAAATATTGACTTCAAATCTGTGTCCAAGTACCTTTAAGAAGACTGCAATGAAAACTAGAACTGTCCAAACGGGACAAAATAACCCCCGCTGAGTTTTTCAGAAGTAAGTTTTTCCATAAGAAAGATATGGACCAGACACAAATTATGAAATTTTTCTTCCAGTGACCTTGAACTTCCCAAAATGACTTGGGTCAATGTCATGACACACCCTTCCATCACGGACAATCTTTGTGTGAAATGAGAACCTACCAAGTTTATCCATAAGAAAGATATGGACCAGACACAAATTATGAATTTTACTTCCAATGAACTTGAACTTCCAAAAATGACCTTGGGTCAAGGTCATGACACACCCTTCGGTCATGGACAATCTTTGTGTGAGGCCTAAGAAAAAAATTATGTTTGTTTCCTGTAACCCGACCGACCCATTCAAATAATCCCCGGGTGGATTTTTTTTCCTGACAAATGGCAAAACTTCGTTTAATCAATCAGCTGATTCCATTTATTAAATTAAAAAAATAGCTTGTAGCTTAAGTTGAGACATAAAATATGTCAACTAAGTGTACATTTATCTTAAATATAAAGAGTAATCATTATTGTAACAATAGTTTCCCCCTACAACTTCCTGAAGTTTGTTTTCTGAGGTAGGCAACCATTTTGGATGCCATGTTGGGTGTCCACTGTAAATATAACACCTGATATTTTCAGTCCGGGGATGTTTGACCATTCATAAGCAAAAAAAAAAAAAAAAAAAAAAAAAAAAAAAATTCCCCGACCTACCGACCCTTGATTTTTTGGGAATGTTACAGGAAACAAACATTTTTTTTTTAAGCCTGAAATGACAACCTACCAAGTTTATCCATAAGAAAGATATGGATCAGACACGAATTATGAAATTTTTCTTCCAGTGACATTGAACTTCCCCAAATGACCTTGGGTCAAGGTCATAACAAACCCTCGGGTCATGGGCTATCTTTGTGTGAAATGAGAACCTACCAAGTTTATCCATAAGAAAGATATGGACCGGACATGAATTATGAAATTTTTCTTCCAGTGACCTTGAACTTCCCCAAATGACCATGGGTCAAGCTCATGACACTACCTTAGGTCATGGGCAATCTTTGTGTGAAATGACAACCAACCAAGTTTATCCATAAGAAAGATATGGACCGGACGCGAATTATGAAATTTTTCTTCCAATGACCTTGGACTTCCCCAAATGACCTTGGGTCAAGGTCACGACACACCCTTGGGTCATGGGCAATCTTTGTATGAAATGAGAACCTACTAAGTTTATTCATAAGAAAGATATGGACCGGACACGAATTATGAAATTTTTCTTCCAGTGACCTTGAACTTCCCCAAATGACCTTGGGTCAAGGTCATGAAACACCCTTAGGTCATGGGCAATCTTTGTGTGGAGTAGTAGATTCTAATGTCCCTCTGTAAGAAAGATATGGACCGGTCACGATTGCAAAAACAGACGGTCAAGGTGAGTCCTATATACTAGGGCTGTGTATTGAGCCAAAATTTTCGATACGATACCAGGGATTTATCTAGCTATTTTGTTTTACTACCGTTTTATATGTAAAGGGGGAAAATGAGAGCCGCAGGCTTGATCTGAGCGCCAGAGGCGTCATATAATTCCTGGGTGTTATGCCCCCCCCCCCCCCGGAAAATTTTAAAATAAATGGAGCAAAATCGTGCATTCTTAGAGCTTCTGAGGGTCATTTGTAGACCTTTACAAAGGCCACAAAAACTTCACTTTTGAGACAAAATATTAAATAACAAGAAAAAAATTTAAACCAGGTCGATTCTTTATTTAATTTTTTCTCTCAGTATCTATCACAAATCAATTCTGTTTTTCATGTTTCACTACTAACATTGTTTTTGTTGTTACTCCATTCTTCCATATTCATAGTGATTTAAGCTCCATCTTACTCATCTACACTTTTCTTAACTCTGCAATCGCATACGTATATTTTGACATCATGGACATGGCACATGTTTACCGATCAATATCAAATAGAAGCTTAAATAATCTACTCTCTCTTTTAAAAGCGTCTGAATGACTAGGATGGTGAATTAGGATATGCTGTTAAACTTCAATCGGACAAAAACGGAAAATTTCAGTACGATGTTTTAAATATTCTCCGTTTAATCGGAGAATTTTCGATCTGAAAAAGGGGAATTTTTCACCTTTTTCAAGAGGGGAAAGGTACCGTTTACCGGTAGTAAAAACAGCCTTGATAAATCCCTGGATACGATACAATATTTTTTAAAGCGATATGCGATATATTGAATTCTAAAAGAAGTCTATTAGAAAAGGCTTCTAAATCATTTTAATGCATACATTTCATAACAATTAACTGTTTTATTACCCATTTTAAAGTTCTTGTCTCATTTTCTTTAAAAATAACACTTCAATTAAAACTTTTGATGACAGTTAAATCAACATGTTCAAATAAATTTCTCTTTTTATTTTGTAATATTGATAAAAACTTTGTTATTTCCTTAGAAATTATATAATTATTGAATTTTTTAATCCAAAAAAGTAAAATATAATCTTTGTTGACAATTCACCATCTTTTAAACAGAACATAAAGAAAAAATGTGTGTGGATACGTATTGGAAGTTATTTTTCGATACGATATTTTTCTTGAATATCGATACGTATCGATATATCGATATATTGATACAGCCCTACTATATACCCCCCCAAACTTCGTTTGCGGGGGGTATAATTAACAAAATTTGAGATCTGATATACAAGATATTTGTTTTAACTTACAAACCTTTGAACACACGAGGTTGTTGTAGAACATTATTCCAGGCATTGGCTACCTCTTCTAGTAAGACATGTGTCTGCGTGTTGTACTTGTGGCCAGGGTTTAGGAGTCCAAGGTCAACACATTCTCCTGCCAAGTAATCTGTCAGCAAGCACAGAAGGGTGCATTCTTCCTCAGAACTGATCTGACGATTGACAAGATACTGAAAAAAAATCTTAATAAGCATTTAGTGTTCAAGATTAAATAAACACACACATGGCTTAGAATTACTCTTCTGATAAATTGTATAACCTTCTCACTATTAGTATCCAAAATATTAAGTGAAATCTTGAAATTCCAAAAGGTCTCCATGACCTATTTTAATTTAACATACTCTGAGAACTAAGATACAACTGACCAAGTTTGATGATTTTCAGATACAACCATGAATTAAATTCCCAAAGTAAGACTCAATGACTTTTTTTTTTTTTGGAAAATGCAAGGGCCCGAGCGAGTCTTCTCAGGTTTGATGTGTGGAGGGGGTATCCATACATATCAGGTGCATATGGATGAGTAGTTACTAGTATTTCGTTGGGGGGAGACCATTAGATTTGGGGGGTGGGTGGGGGCAGGCTAGCAATTTTTTTTTAGTCAGATAATTTATTTCCATGTCCGTGAAGGACAGATTTATTCATTTTATTTATTTCCAATAATCAATGATATATTTAATAATATTTTTTGTCACTGGAAAAAGGAAATATCAAAGTCCAAAACTTTGAATATATTGTTTTTTGTTTTTGTTTTTTTTGGAGGGAGGGGGGCATAGAACTGTGCAGGGACAAATAATTTATTTTCTTGTCGGTCGAGGACAGATTATTTATTTTCAAAAATCTGCCAGCCCCCCCCCCCCCCTCAGGATGTTCCGTCCCCTTGCAATATGCGTTTTTTTTAACTTTAATTTTTTTAGCATATGATTTTATTTTAATTATATAAAAGCTAAAAGCTAACACGCTCCCTCTTATCAATTATGTCTGGAGCTAAATCTCACCAAAACTTTCCAAACAACTGATGGCGGCAAGTCTCCGTACAGCATCCCCATCAGTGAGGGAGGATTATTTACAACGAAGTCTTCAGCTGTAGCCAAAGTTTTTGTAATATTGTCGTCGTAATCTTTTAGCAAACAATTCTCCGCAGTTTCAGGTGGTGAAATATTTGCTGTGCCTTTGGCTCTTCGTTTTCTTGCGCGAGGCATGTCTGCTGTTTTCTCAGTGACTGAATTTCCCGCGATATTTCATTTCCGGTTGCATGAGCAAAAATTCCCATAATTCTCTGAGGTAAACAGTTGTGTAACACACAGCTTTAGCACATGGTGGTGAACTCGTGTCAGAAGCCAAAATCATGCCAGAAGGTCCAGAGCTGCATCTTGCCAGCAAGTTTGTTAATCTTGTCTGTAAAGGAAGAGTTTTTAAAGGCCCGATAATTAAATCGGAGGTGAGTAAACATGCCGATGTGGAGTTTGAGGACGAGTACACGATCTCCGCTACCTCCAGGGGTAAGGAAATGAAACTTACATTAAACACCATGTGCAAGGACAATAAATCACTCAATAAAAGCAGATCTCTGGACATCGTATTCCAGTTTGGCATGTCAGGGAAGTTTGATTTTTATGAAGCAACTGAACTGAAGAAGCACGCACATTTGAATTTCTTCACTAAAGAAGAACCGAAGATGGTGTTAAGCTTTGTTGACTACAGAAGATTTGGGAAATGGCAGGTGGGCGGTGAATGGTCAAAAGAGAGAGGTCCATGTGTTCTGTTTGAGTACCTGGCCTTTAGGTAAATCACAAGACGTACTTGAATTTTTATCAATAAGTTGCCAAATAAGCTAAATATCGAAAAATTATACCCCCTCTATATAAAATAAAAAATAATATAACTAGAGGTACTGTCAGCAATGAGCTCACTAAATGATATCCCCCCCCCCTTGCCTCCCATATGAATATAAAGTCTGCGTGTCCATGTTTTGCTATATGGCCCGGGAAACCCAAAAAATGTGTCGGATCAAAAAGTAAATTAGCTAGGAGGTGCACAAAGGCATTATGTAATAAAGATTCTCTGAAAGTCTCATCAAATTTCATTCAGTGGTATAAGAGGAGTTGCTGGTAAGGGATGGATACCCTAAAATGTTAACAGATGGACAGACAGACAGACGTACAGGGACGGACATCACAATTACTATTTCTTTTACTTACTATTGCTTTTCAAGTGGGGGGTATAATAATTATACATGTAGTGATGTACATTCAACATACATTTGAAGATACAGAAATGATCTGAAAATTATTGCAGATTTCTGATATATATGGTATTTCATGAGCTTTGAAAATCAGAGCATTTGTACATTTGTAAATGTAGACTAATATTTTTACATGTTTATACACTGATATACATGTACATAAATAAAAAGAATTATTTTGTAGGAAGAATGTTCTGGACAATATGAAGAATTCAGTTTTCAACAAACCAATATGTGAATTTCTATTGAACCAGACATACTTCAATGGAATAGGAAATTACTTGAGAGCTGAAATACTATACAGGTAAAAGAACATGATTTAATACATGTTTGTGTGCATGGTGATTGAAGTTACTAGGTAATGTCCCTGTCTGTGTTTGTGTTTATGATGATTGAAATGACCAGCTGATGTTGGCCTGCATGTCTGTGTTTGTGCAGTGTATATTTAATATTAACTACTGTTTATGATGAATTATTTAAGGGCAGGGATACCACCTTTTGTGTCAGCTAGATCAGTACTGGAACCTCTGAGTGGGGAAGGATCTGAGAATTTACTGAAGACAGAGACCCCTGACATTCTACAGCTCTGCCACATCCTGCCTCAGGAAGTGATCAATCTAGGTAGTCAGAAAATTGTCATCTTACAATCCATCATAGATACAGCTTATGTATAGGGAAAACAAAACAAAGATGTATCCTCAGCTGTAATATGTCACTGCAACTATGTCTCTCTCTCTGAATGGTTATATGGACGTTTAGCAAACTTGCACGATGGCAAACTTGGTACAAAGCTGTACATATTACCCTGCATTGATATGTGGAAAGGAGACTATTCTTTTTATTGTTTTTTAGCTTACCTGAGTCGAAGGCTCAAGTGAGCTTTTCTGATCAAAATTTGTCTGCTGTCTGTCATCGTTGTCGTCGTTGGCATTGTAAACTTTTCACATTTTCATCTTCTTCTCAAGAACCACTGGACCAATTTCAACTAAACTTGGTACAAAGTATCCTTGGGTAAAGGAGATTCAAGTTTGTTTGATTTGAACATATTTTATTGTAATATAATGTGAAGGGCCACACCCTCTTCCAAGGGGAGATATATAATTATGAATTAGTGAAGATTATTGGCATTTTTAAAAAATCTTCTTAAGAACCTCTGGGCCAGGAAAGATGAAACTCATGTTGAAGAATCCTCAGGTAGTGTAGATATAAGTTTGTTCAAATCATGACCCCCGGGTCAAGGATGGGGCCAAAATGGCCGATTAAAGTTTTACATAGGAATATATAGGAAAAAATCTTTAAAATCCTCTTCTGAAGAAACACTGGGACAGGAAAGATGAAACTCATGTTGAATCATCCTCAGATAGTGTACATTCAAGTTTGTTCAATTCATGGCCCCCGGGGGTAGGGTGGAGCCACAATGGCCAATCAAAGTTTTACATAAGAATATATAGGAAATATCTTTAAAAATCTTCTCAAGAACCATTAATTGGGACAGGAAAGATGAAACTCATGTTGAATCATCCTCAGATAGTGTACATTCAAATTTGTTCAAATCATGACCCCCGGGGATAAGGTGGGGCCATAATGGCTGGTCAAAGTTTTACATAGGAATATATAGAAAATATCTTTAAAAATCTTCTTCTCAAGAACCATTGGGACAGGAAAGATGAAACTCATGTTGAATCATCCTCAGATAGTGTACACTCAAGTTTGTTCAAATCAAGGCCTCGGGGGTAGGGTGGGGCCACAATGGCTGATCAAAGTTTTACATAGGAATATAAAGGAAAAATCTTTAAAAATTTTCTTTTCAAGAACTCTCTCAATAAGTTAAATGCAGAATTGATATGAAGGCATTCTCAAATAGTATTAGAATTCAAGCCCCCCACCCCACCACATTACCTCAGTCAACTTTTCAATTCTGATCTGATTTGTGCATTTTCCTAGCCGATGTGCTCAGGTGAGCGATGTTGCCCCTGGGCCTCTTGTTTTTTAAAATCAGCCTCATGCCTTTGAATATAGATACTATTAATTAAACACAATTATAATGAAATTTGAATTTAGTGATTACTTCTGAAGTAAATGTAAATTAAGATGGAGAAAATATAGGAATATCAATAAATATCATGTAAAACTGAAATGATAAGGTATTGTTAAAACATTAAATCTTCCAGGAGGGACAGGGTACGACCCAGAGGGGAGAGATCCAGACTATTCCAAGTTCTGTGAATGGCTCCAGTGTTACTACAAAGAAGGCATGGAAAACATGGCGGACCACAACAAAAGAACTATATGGTTTCATGGCAATCCAGGACCCTTGGTTCCAAATGGTATCACTATATGTTTATAAAAAAAACATCTTAGGCCATCTTTAAAATAATGCTTGTTTGCCCTCTCCTGACTCAAGGTAAAAGTATTGGGGCGGTAGATAGGGGAAAAAATTCCAGAAAGTTTCAACATATTTATTGATTGAAGAAGAGGAATAAAAAGAAAGAAAAAAAAAATCATGTCCTGGAATGTTAATAAAACGAAATGGGTCCATTTTAAGCCAGTTGGTTGAGAGAGGGCAACCAAACTTTTTTTTAAAGATGGGTGGCCATATCATAGTATTTATCACTGTGCATTTAACTTTATATGGAGGATGTGTTTTTATGGAATGATCTTCAAAGTGACAGTTCTTGACTGTCCTGAAAGCTTTTATAAGAGATGTACTTCTGGCTATTCTTAATATTTTTGATTTGTTGATGTTACTTATTTTATACCAACAAAGAGGTTTAAATGGTTAACTTCTGTTTGAAAATGGCTGTAATTTTTTTTAAAGAGCATAAATACTCTAACGTTTTTCTCTGTTAATGATAACATTTGACGTACACATTTTAGAAATCAAAGTCAGGCAGCTAAAGAGAAGCTCAAAAGTGGCCAAGAGTAATGCAAAGGTAGGAATATGATAAAGTTCATCAAGTGTGTGATATAATTCAATAATATTTATTTACATTTGCTGATGTCTTTCTTATGTAACAATGATAGTGAAATTGAATTTCAATTTTTAATGACATGCAGTTGGTCACATGATCATATTTTCTTGCATATGCATGGAAAGCTGTTCAGAGGTTGCCCCCTTTGAAAACTGTTGCTATGGGCTTCAAAAACCCATATATGGTGCGATTCTATGCATGAGTATTGGTGGCACTGACCTGGACCCCCCTCCCCCCCCCTCCTTTTTTCAAAATTTGCTGGATTAATTTGCCCCTGCAAAGTAATTATAAAATGAACAATTGGAGTGAACAGATATCAGCATTAAATTCATTGAACTGGTGGAAAATTATAAAGAGTAAAAGAGTAAATGCTACAGAACAATTACATTTTATTTTGAAGTGAATACATGTACTTTTTATATGCTAGAAAATGAAGAAAGACATAGAATCAGAGAAGTCAGGTGAAGAAAATGGAGGTTCAGAGACTGTGACAAGAAGGAAGCTTCAGGTAGCAGAAGGCAGGGAGTCTAAGCAGAAGGCAGCAAAATCTTCAACAAAATCAACAGCAAAATCACTTAAAAAGTCATCAAACAAATCCAGAAAGCTGGACAGTCCATCGGAATTAAGCAAAAGTGAATCTGCAGTTGTAAGAAAAAGAATTAAAAAAAAGGAAGAAAAAGACTTCAATCAGAACCAAATTAAATCATCCATCTCCAAAGAAAAGTCAACTTCAAAGATTGTTGTAAATGGAGATTCAAATACCCTTAAAGCAAAGGTATCACAAAAAGGAAGGAAGAAAAAGACCATCAAGTCTGATTACATAGGCCAAAAATCCACTGCTAGTAGGAGCAGATCAAAGTCTTCTGCTTCCACTTTGTACAGCAGGAATGGAATAGAGGGTACCCCAAAGTCTGTAAGGCAAATGTCAGAAAGAGGTGGGTTTGTCTGTAGTGAAAGCTTTATTTCTATTTTCTTATTGTAAATACAAAATAAGATATGCATAGGCACTTCCTATCTTCACAATGCCAAGGTCTTATGATATCATTCCTCTACACAAACCCTTGACAAAAGTTGCAATATAAAAGTCAGGCTAGAATGCTACTACTGCATTTGTTCCCAATCAAGGACTGGGGACTAATCATAAAATGGCTTTATTAAAGGTAAGTTTTGTAAACAAATATGATAACTTAAAAATGGAAAGCACTAATAATGTACAATATGTGACTAGTGACCTCAGATTAAATATTTGAGAAACATTTTTGAAAGATCCTTCCCCTTTAGTTCCCAAAAGTGCTATTGCTTCAAACCACTTGAAAATGACAAACTTAAAAGAATGGTTTTCTCATTAATTTGTTATCTATGGAATGCCTCAGCTACCTTATGTGGAAGACATTCATTATACTGGTATGCTGACAAACATTATATGCTGATACTTTGTCAATATATACTGATACTTGAACATTATTTAGTTTAAAATATATTTTATTCATATATAGAAATGGATTGAACAGCAGGCATAAATGCCTATGATCGTTCTCTCCATAGGTCAAGGTACAATTACAAGTACATGTAAACATTGAAAAAATGTATGAAGAGTAGATTATCAATTGGTACATATTTAGAATTTATTCAGAGAGAGAGAGAGAGAGAGAAATGATAAGAAAAAATATATATAATTTAACAAATGGATAGGAAAAATAATAATTATATAATAAATAAAATATAATCAGCAAAAAGGAAGAAAAACAAACAAAACAAAAAACAAGAACATATGTTTGAGCAATTGTTGTTGACCCAGAGTAGGAAGAATTGAACATTATTTGCTGATACATTAACATTATAATGTGATACTAACTTTGTCATTATATAATGATACTTTAACATTATTTGCTGTTTTTCTAAAGTTTATAGAAAATGATTTTGTACATGTAATCTTTCAGCTGCTCGAGCAAAACGTCGTCATGAGAGATGAATCATTTGATAGCATGACTTTCCTAAAATGAGATCAAATGAGAGGTCGGTGTCTACATTTCTGGACATATTGTCTGAAAACCCTGAAGGAAAAACCAGTCTGATCAGCAACATCTGCTGCATTATTAAATGATTTTCTGCTATTGTGAAGGAGTCAAATCTTTCCCAGCCAAAAATGGACAGGATTTTGTGGATGGACCGGGTGCCATGAATGTTGTGATTAAGTATTTCTAGGCCTCATCTTGAATATGTGGCATGGCAAATAGTGTTAGTCTTGTTCTTTTTCTGTCCATTCATCCTTCCTTCTTACCCATTGTCAAACTGCCACACCTTTCATTTAGATCTGTTTTAATAGTGTAAAGATAGTTTAGCTGTAATTCAATCATGGAAATAAATTGATAAAAGCTATTCAAGTATTACAACTTATAAAGACCTTCACCTTCCCTATTACCTTGACTCTACTATTTCTTATTTGTGTTAATATTTATACTTTTTAATCATTTTAGGCAAAATTCATACATTACATAGTCATAAAAACTATTCTTCATTGGAAATTTTTTGACTTTGATGTTCATAGTGACCTTATTTTATATTCTCTTTCCCATTTTTGAACCAAAGCAATATAGGGTATGTTTTGAATACAATATTATATTTTTAAGAATGTTCCACTCAGGTATTTCAGTACAAACAGTGGTATGTAAGTCAGTTAAAAAAATTAAATTAATTGATTTTAAATATTGTACTTATTGTTTTAAAGCATTTTTATAAAGTTTGTATATTTGTATTTATAATCATAGAACTTCAATAAAGTAGTTAACAACATTAAAAAAAATATTTTTTGATGGATATGTTGTGTGTTAAAGGAGTTGCCAACTTCTACCTATATGCAATAAATAACAAGTATTTACTTAAACAAGCAAATTCAAAGAATTGTGGTCCACCGCTTTCGGTGTCGTTTTGGGTGAGATGTCATTTTTTTTATGACATTTAGTGTCTAATATGAACGCCCTATGATAAGTCATCTATTTAGAATTATCACTGAACTCCAAGGTCAAGGTCAAAGGGTTAATGTTCTTGGTATTCAATGAAAAGTCTTTTCAAAAGGATTACGTATGTGAAGTATGACAGCCCTAGCCCTTACCATTCAAATGTTATGGTCAAGGTTAAAGTTCTCTCATAAGTACAAAATATCTCCAAGGTCAAGGTCAAAAGGTCAAGGTTGTTGGCATCAAATGAAAGGTCTTGCCGCAAAGAATATATTTGTAAAATATGAAAGTCCTGGTATCTACTGTTCAAAAGTTGTGGCCAAGGTCAAAGTTTTTGAAAAGTAAGTCAAACTCCAAGGTCAAGGTCCAGGGGGCAAAGTTCTTGGCATTCAATGACAGGTCTTCTCACATGAATTATATATATATGAAGTATGAAAGCCCTAGCCCTTACCATTCAAAAGTTATGTCAAGGTTAAAGTTTTTTTCATAAGTACGGAAATCTCCAAGGTCAAGGTCAAAAGGTGAAAGTTGTTGGTATCCAATAAAAGGTCTTACTACAAAGAATACATATGTGAAATATGAAAGTCCTAGTACCTACCATTCAAAAGTTATGGCCAAAGAAAAGATTGGAATTTTTGTGTAAAAGTGGGTCAAACTCCCAGGTCAAGGTCAAAAGGTCAAATTTGGTGGTACCCAAAAAATGTATTGTCACAAGGAATACACATATGAAATATGAAAGTCATAGCTCCACTAAATCAAAAGTTATGGGCAAGGTTAAAGTTTTTGTGACGGACGGACAGACAGACGGACAGACGAATGAGATTTAATGTCCCCTCGCTTTCGCGAAAGCAGGGGACAATAATGGAAAGAAAAGATAATTATGAAACAATGTTTGGAGATCAATTAAAACCCACTTTTTCGGATATCTACACATTAAATCGTATTCTGCTTGATCTCAAATTTTTTGTGTAACCATAAACGATTGATTGTTAATCAGAAGTTTTCAAAATATATTATTGGCAAATCTACTATTAATTAACTAAGGCTAAAATTATGTTTGGATTTGAATTAATAAGCATTTGAAAATAAATTTCCTGTTTATTTTTTTTAATAATAATAAAAAAATTATTGATAATCATAACACTTTTCCTTCCTGTTTGAACAAGGTGTTTTGCATTATTGGACATTGCCTTTCTGCATCATAAACAATACAGATAAACGCAATACTAATTTATATGAAACAGAGATAGATCTCGAATTACCTAGGCCAAGAACCACTAGGTATGGAAAACAGTCATTCAGCTATGTGGCTGCTACGTTGTGGAATTCTCTACCAAATCATGCTAGGGAACTTTCCACCCTCAGCCAATTTAAAACTTTCATTGAGACATGGACGGGGGAAAAATGCAAATGCAGTTCCTGCAGAAACAACAGCGTGGGGCTGCATAGCTGATGAGACAATATTTACGAGGGGCGTTCAATAAATAATGTCATTAGCTCGATGACATACAACATAGTAGTCATATGACAAAAAGCTTGACTTTCTCTCATTATTGAATCTTTAATGAATTTATAACAGTTTATGTGACCACTTTTCATCACATAGTTTTATCGTAAGAAGCTGGGAAACAAGGGCTATTCGAGACACTGCATTATAAATGAATGGTAAAGAATTAGTAAACTAGAGTGAAAATAAAAGCTACATTAAAGCTGCTGTAAAACTTGTAAAAAATCCCAAAGAAATATTCACTGAAATATGTGACATTTACAGCAACCGACGCCTGTTTTATAGACAAATTAGCAGGTGGATTTCAATGATAAAAAATTATATAATGGGCATAAAATATGTATAACGTCCTTGCCAACAAAAATTATAACAACTTATGTACTGTTTGCCAAATTTCAACAAATAATATTTGATGATGTATGATTGACTTTAAGACACGTAGCAAATTTGATAGACATCATATCAAGAGTACTAAACACTGTTTAAAGAAATGTATGGTACTCAAAGGTCACCCCATATTTTGATAAATGAGTGAAAACGACAGCGTGTACCAAAGTCTTAACAATTATTTTAAAATACCAGTAATTGTAGTAATCCACGTTTGTTTTATATTCAAACAGATATTGGAGCATGAATCTATTGCTTAAAACCATTAAAACAAAATTTAACATAAGATGTACTTGATAAAAACGGCGAAGGTCTGTCAAAAGCAAAGGTATGCAAGAGCACAGAAACAGATTATTATGCAATTTTCTTAAATATGAGTGGTATTATTGTTCAAATTCGTAATCGGGGAGACAGTTTAATATCTGGAGGTGTCTACAAAGCAGTTTTTTTGCACAGAAATCGAAAGGTTTATCAGAGAAAGGACCCAGAATCAGGAGCCCACTGCATTGAATTTCTTCATGACAGCGTTCAAACCCGCATGCCCTAAAGAGTAAAGGGGTTTACGGGATAAACAGAAAGTTAAAGTTTTTTCACGTTAACAATATTTGCCAGATCTTTGACCTTTTGACTTGTTTCTATTTCCAAACTTGAAAAAAAAACCTTTCAGAAGGAAAAAAAAACAAGTCCAGAAAATCATTGGATCTGCCATTTTCCAGTATCCTAAGGGCCATACCCAAAAATGAGTTCTAAAAACAATCAGAAATTGAATAAAAAATGTTACGGACATGTGTTTGAATTGAAAGAGATTAATAAGTAAAATCATGAAGACTAAATCATTGAAAAGCGTCGTTTGCTTTTTTCTGAGCCCCAATGACATTATTTATTGAACGCCCCTCGTATCTGTTATTTATTCACTTAGTTTAGAAACAGCTGAATTTTCATTTATTTTTGAAATCTTTCATTTGCTTTGATGATACCAACTCATTTTATTTCATAGTTTTCTAGTGTTTCTTTTACTATTTTTTTTTTCTTTACCCTCACAACAATGCATATCTTGCCTATGTAGGTAGGGACTGACCCAATCACAAGGCAAGGCAGGATGTGTATTGATGAGGAACATAAATTATTTTTAAATTACTGTTATTATTATTATTATTATTATTTTTTTTTTTTTTTTTTTTTTTTTTTAGTTATTTTTTTCCCCTTCTTCTTTCTCAAATTTGGTTTAGCTATGTCTGTGTGAATTTTTAATTTTCTAAACTTTCAAATTTATTTATTTATTTATTATAATTATTATTAATAATACATTTAGTTATTTTTTTATCTGAATTTATGGATTAAACTTAGTGCTTAATTTTTATTATTATCATATAACTTTTATTTATTTATTTATTTATAATACTCACGTTATATTTATTTTTGTTCCTCTTAATGCAATCGTATTGCTTTTCAATTTGTCTATTTTTTCTTTAACTTATTCTAATGAAATAATAAATTCTTATAATTTGTTAAATTCTTAAAATTCGTTTTATTTGTCATTTGTATGTGTATATATGTACATGTGTTTTTGCATGTTAATTTATGCTGTAAATGTTTTCCTGTGATATTTTAACTGTGATAGTGGTTTAAGAGCTCTACAGAGCTCATGTTTCTTGTTATGTATTGTATACAATGCCGACTTTAAATAAAATTTACTTACTTACTTACTTACTTAGATCGATTTGGTATTTCATCTGAAGGACTTTCTATTATCTAATAACTTTTTACAAAAACTATTTGATGTTACATTCGGACAGATGTTGAGTGTTTTCCATGGCAAACTTTTACATTATTCATATCAAGTGGTAAGTGGCAGGGGCGTAGTATCCGGGGGGCCAGGGGGGGCCTGCCCCCCCCCCCCCCCACTTTTTTTCCCAACCTTACTTACACTGTAGGAAATGTTAATTCAAAGTCTGTTTGGCCCACCCACTTTTAGAAATGTACCGAAAATGTAGTATAAGAATTGGTACTAAAAGTAGTTGACACTGAAAAAAAGTTTACCTAACCCCCCCCCCCCCCCCCCCCCCCCCCCCCCCCCCAAATAGGATTTTCTCCTTCGGGCAACTTTTTCCTTTTTTTTTTTTTTTTTTTTTTTTTTTTGTGCTTGTCAACTTTTTCAGGTAAGTAAAAAAAAATTTCTCTCTCTGGCTGCCCCCCCCCACTTTCTAAAACGATGCTACGCCACTGAGTGGTACACCTTTTGTTTTCACGCCTCCTGACCTCCTAATCCTGTGACTGAATTTGATTTAAATTTCAAATGGTTTCATTTTCATACTGAAAAGAAAGACTTTCCATTATACTCGTTTTGGAGTAAGGTTCCAGTGTGTGAGCTCAGTGATTAGCATACTTTTTTTTTTTTTTTTCTTTTTTTGATTACCATACTTAAAGTTTTCTTTTTTGTTAAATACACTTCCTAAAAAACGCTCAAAGGAAGGTCCAGTGTACGCATCGAACTGAAACGTAAAATTAAATCCACACATCAATCATCAATATATCTGATGTTTTTTACATGCATTAAGAAAGCTTTTTCGTGTTTTCCCTTTTGAAATAGAATTTCAGTTTCTGTAAAAAGAATTATTTGTCAGATTTATGTAAATTTTACACAGAAGAAATATAAAGATATGCTTTCTTATTCAATCATAGAGACATTAAGGGGTCTTTAACTTTTTCAGCACCTTTGCTGAAATGACAAAATTTAGTCAACCGGCATTTTTATACCCCCTGCTTGAAAAGTGGGAGGGTATAAAGCCGTCAGGATGTATGTCCGTCCGTCTGTCTGTACGTCCGTCTGTTATGCTTTGTGGTACCCATTTCTTATCTGCAACTCCTTATATACCACTGAATGAAATTTAATGATACTTTTACAGAATCTTCGTTACATAGTGCCATTGTGCACCTCCTTATCTTACTTTTTGATCTGACAATTCATTTTGGGTTTCCAAGAGCCAAACAGGGACTTTTCCACTATAATTATATGGCAGGGCGGTGGGAATGTTCAGTGAGCTCAGTGATCACAGTACCTATAGTTTTTAATTAAAAATATGAATTTTCCGGTAAGTAGTTGGAAAAAAAACCACCGCAAACTACACGCATGAAATGTGAATATTGCGACGTGATAAACATTTTGCACTGTTCTAATGATTATCTGCCTTCCTAAAGCATCTTTCAAAGCATTGGCTATCGTAACTTTTAACTCGATTACAAAGTTTCTACCTAAAAGTTTTCAAACGACACAGATCCTTGTAGAGTTTAACATGAAAAAAAAGACAAATGAATAGAAAATACAGCTCTAACAAATTTTTGTTCATGCAATTACATGTATTTTAAATTTGAACCATAGAATGATCTACGATCAGACAAAAATTATTGCTTTAAAATGGTATATCTGAGCAAAAAAGTACAAATCAGCCGTTGGGTATGGTGGTACATTAATTAAATTCAAATTTTCGATGGTCTTGTCACTTTACTTAATGTATTATATAATTTTACATTTGGCATATGAAGAGTGAAGTTTATCGAGTCATAATTTATTATTTGGACAGAGAGCAAATATAGTTGTTCTTTATCCTGATGTTACATTACGTGTGAAGACAAGTAATAGTTCAATGAGTGGTATTGTTATATTGAGGACAGGATATATGAGTGAACTGATATTGTTCTTTTGAGGACAGAAAACAATGAGTGGCTCTAGCACTGATGCAATAGTGAAGACAGAAAATATTTTAAGTAGTTATTTTATATTGAGGACAGGATATGTTGAGCGATCTTCCTATATTGAGGCTACCAGTCTATCTGCTTTCAATTTAACTCGCCTTAATTTTAAGCTCAACATATCGTTTCTGACACTCGTTCATTTTCTGTCTGCCTTCGTCTTCACTATTGTCATCAACTTAGACCGCACTGTTAGTCCAATTTCAATAAAACTAAGCATCTTAGAATAAAGGGAATTCAAGTTTGTTCAAATCAAGGCCAGGCCTTCTTTCAGGGTGATATAATAAAACAAGATGAAAAAAAGATGAATTCAATATTTGAAGAAGAGGACTTTGGGTCACAACGTTTGATCTGAGCAACTATGGTGCATTTGTTCTCGCTCAGTAGATTTTTGCCAACATATTCTTATGTAAAACTTTGAAAACTTACCAGTTATGGCCCTACCCTCCTCAAGATAGTTAGGATTTGAACTCATTTAAAAATATGACTAATCATGAATATGACTTCAAAGGATTTTTTCCTATGTATTCCTATGTAAAATTGATTGCCCATTGTGACCCCATTCTACTCTTGGGAGTCATGATTTGAACAAATTTAAATTTACACTTTCCCCAATATATTTGTACATAAATCTACACTACCTGGGGATGCTTCTATATTATTAATGTATCATAATGACTTAATATTTTTATGAATTTGCTGTTCTTGAGAGGAAGTTCCCCTTTATAATTCCTGTGTATCACTTTGACTCCTGTCGTTGCCCTGTTCCATTGTATCGGGTCATGATACCAATGCTTTGCTGCTTTTGAGAAGGTTTTCTTTTTTATTTCAAGTCTAATATCCCCGACGACTCTTGATAGGAACAAATTTGAAAAATGCCCTCACACAATTTCATGTTTTCCGGCCCATTTGTTCTAAAGAGGAAGATTCTTAAAAGATACCGTGAAAGAGAACATGAACACTTTTTGGACAACTTTGAATTTCCTTTAAGCAATACCTGAACGTAGATGTTTGTTTCTAAATGATTGGGCAACAAACAAAGGAGTCGCAATTGTTCTTTAATTAACAAATGTCTGTTTAGCTTCCAAACAACCCCTCAGTGAAAACCTAAATACACATCTACATGACACACCAACAAATTCTAAATAATCTAGCAATCTAAAATATGATTAAGCTTCTGTGAAAAATCTTTGACGAGTTCAGAGAATCAGGTCATGTCAAGCAAATACAAACAATCGTCATTTCGTCTGAACTTCTTTGACATCTTTCACAGTAGCCCACTCATATTTTCAATGTATCTTGTACATAGGCGATTGGGTTTTCAAAATTACAGTTGTAGATTTTCCCACATTACCGAATGATTTGAGGAGTAGGAAAAGTTTTCTGTAAAATGTTGGTTTCCTTAACTGCTCTTATATTTTAAACAGCAGCCAAAGCATCTTTTGCTTGCAAAAATTTCGAAATCTTATTGCAAATTCTAAGCATAATTCAAAGAAAAAATGATGGGCTACTGAAAAAAAAACTATCTGAGGATAATAGGGAACCATTTTTGTTTAAACAGAAAATCGTTGTTGTTTTTTACTCTCAGGTTTAATCCCGGGGCCCCAACCTTATGGCACACCATGAAGCATTTTCAATCTGGCAGTGTCAATATTTCGCTATGGGAAACCCGAAATATGTGTCCGATCAAATAATTAAAATAAAGGGTACAGAATGGAGCTATTTAACAAAGTAACATTTTGTGAAAGTGTCATCAAATTCAATCAGTGGTATAGGAGGAGCTGCGGATAAAAGATGGGTACCCCAGAGTGTAACAGACGGACAGACACCTTGATCACTATATATTTACATCCACTGAATATTTTCTCCTTCATTTCTTAAGAAAACCCATTGCATTAATCACTGCATGAACTACAGTCGGCATGTCGCCTGTACAGATTTCTTGATCAGTGGCTGTTCCATCAATGAAACGTACAAAGACGTTTGCATCAATAATACAATAATGAATCTGTTTAATTCTATTTTAAATGATTATTTAAACAGATATAAATATAAACAATATATACACTCCATAACCCGCTTTTATGTATTTTTTCAAGCGGCGGGTATAATGATCAGCTTGACTTATGCACAGGATAACCATCACGCTACATGGTGACAATCGATCGTACCACGTCTTGTCAAAATTACAGACAATTTTACTCATGCTGAAATTAATTGATGTTCATTATATAAACGATTATGTTTGATAGTTTATTACACACCACATCTCAAATTAAAAAAAAAAATCTGCCACGTTTACCAAATAGCAAAACACTGAATTACAAAAAAAAAAAACAAAAAAAAACAAACAAAAAACAAAAAACAAAAACGGGTAATTAAAAAAAAAGTTACAAAATATTTTATATAATAAAAGCAAGGGTTGGGTACACAAAATATTGTGGCATATTTCTGCCCCCTGTATATGCGAAATAAATTTTGTTAACATGCAAGAAAAAAAATGTGTCAACATGCAAGATAATTATGTCTACATGCAAGATTATTATTTTAGTCGAGAATATAATTCTACTATGGGTAAAATAACTATAAAATTTACTTATTATTACATTATTTGACATCAAACATGCAAGATGCAACAAAATTTATGTTCACATGCAACTTATTTGTATTAACATGCAAGATAATTATGTGAACGTGCAAGATATTTATGTCAATATTAACATGCAATTTATTTATGTCAACATGCGACCTATATTTATCTCAGCATGCAAGTTATATTTTAATATGCAAATTAATTAAATCAACATGCAAGATAATAAGTTGCATGACAACATGCATATCTCGCATGATGACATAATGAACGTGCATATTAATATTTACAAGTTGCATGCCTGCATAATTATTACGTTGCATGTTAACACAATTTATCTTGCATGTAGGGGGCATAAATATGCCACCATAACAAAAGTTTATATAATAAAAAAAGGAGCTGGGAAAGTTCTAGTGCTGTGATTTTCGATTTCAAGGAAAAAAATTACGCAATTCTTAGGTAAAGTGTTATAATAATCAATTAAGGAAGTAGAACAAACAAATCTATTTCATATATATGATCCTGAAAAAAAAAATAAAGATTGTAAAAGCTTTGCATAGTAAAGGGTCAATACCCCCCTCCGAAAAATGCATGATTTAAAAAAAAATTACTTCCTCACTACCATTTCCCATTCCCCAAACTTGCTAGCCTTTATTTTTAGAGGAACCTTTTTTTGGTCTTTATAAAAGGCTTTATTTTTTTTTGGGGGGGGGGGTACTCGTCCATTCTTTCCATGCAACAATCAAAGACATTTAAAATACATTTGAGACATTAAAAATTTTTAAAAATAAATCCATCATTTACATGATTCATCCATCGGAATCCATCCTGGATAAACGAAATCCTCTATAGAATTATTCCTAAATTCTCTAGAAAATTCAGATCCAGGAACAAATATATGCTTATAATACACAGTTATTCCCCTCGCCATCCAGCCTATCCACCAACCATAGGATCCGACAGACATGATGGTGTGATTGGCCAGGGATAACAAAGCCATATCCTCAGCGGCAGAAAGTCCAGTGGAGAAATAGACATTACGTTCTCTGCCCAAAGCCTTTTTCGACCATTCTATGTCATTAGAACCCACAATAAATAAAACATTTTCAAATTTATCTCTGAAATATTTCATTGCATTGAGATAATAAGTTTCATTGGGTGTGATTTTCCCGTATTTCAAATGCCCCTCCGTTGCGTAGTCACCTCTTCTTATATGTATACTCACAACGACGTTACCTTTCTTCTTGATGTCAAAGTTCATAATGAGCATAATGTTTTGGAATTGGGACAATGCCTTTTCCTTGATGGAATTCTTAAATGTAAACAAGTCACGAATTTCCTCTTCATATTTTATCCAGTATTTCCATGACTGATAATATCCGTCATATTGAACACTCTCACAAGAAGGAACGCTCAAAAGATCCTCATCGAAAGAGAGTCCCCAGCGCTCAACAAGGAGGGGTAGTCTTGAGCAAACTGCTCTTCTGTCCTTAATATCTGGCGGTGTCTTATCATAGATATAAAATTTATCCAAGAGTTCAAAGTTTTCCGGGATGACAGGAGTAAGAAACTTTATCTTAGCCACTGTATGAAGAAAGGCGTATTGTAGCATTTGATTCCCGAGTCTACCTTTGAATTTGACACATGCAATATTTGGTGAACGAAATGGTATTTCTTCCGATCTGTTAAGCAGGATCCAAGCAGCCAAACTGCAGAGAAGTACTAATATACACAAACGATCTGAAAAAAGTTAAAATAAATTTCTTTAAAAGTTCATGAAGATCAAAAGAGAATGCATTTATCATTTCAGACTTCTTACTTTTTTTCAGTAGTATTATATATTTTTTTGTGAATGAGCAAATTAAAAAAAAATGAAATTATATTGTTTATCTGTGTAGTAGACGTCAAGTTGGATAGCAAAATTCAACGTACTAAAATGTGGCGGTCAGACGGGTTTGATTGTCGTTGACCTGGCCCCGGGATCATGAAACATATATGTCAAAAGCTTCATGTATTACATAAATGTTGTGGAAGTCAAGCAGATCAAAATTGAAATACATATGTTTCATGCATTGATTCACAAAAGTGTTGTTATTTGCAAAGTTTGAGATCAATTCAATAATTGATAAACATTTTACAGGCGATTGAAAATTTGAGTTAAGTCTCAGTCTGTTTCATGATCATGGGGCCAGGTAGCTGAGAAGCTCGATCAGTTATTTTGGGTGCCTGAGTTTGAATCTAGGTCTGGCCAGTCGTATTTTGTGTGTATATCGCAGTGAACCTTAATGAAAGACACCACAGAGACTGCCACATGATCTGTTTCATGATTGGATGTTTAATTGACTATTAACAAGGGCCAAACAAGTAAACTGTATGACAAACGAGATGACTTCAATGTTTCAATCGTCAACTATCCTTGTTTATGCAGTCATTTCCTGCTACCATCTGCATATGGTGTTTATAACTCCCGACTCGCACGACAATCAATAGCATTAATTTTTAAAGCGAAGATAAAGTTGATTTTACAAGCATTTCAACATTCTCATAATATTATAAAGCCAGAAATTTGTCAATTCTATGGTTGTTGTAATGACAGAGTCAGCAAATATATTAATCTATTATTGGGTCGTATTTTGGCTGACTTGTTACATACCTAAGCCTTAGATTTTTGTCTCAAATTGACCACGGAATGTTCCATCTACCTGAATAATACACAGGGCTAACGGCGGGTGAGACTTATGGACAGGGGACACTTACTACTCCTAGGCATCTGATCCCAACTCTAAAATCTTCATACTAGTATGTCAGTCGTTTTGTGTCCTCTACACAGATATGTATTTTTTTTTTAAAAGTTTTTGTTCATGATGATGTTCAAAATGATACAACTGGGAATGGTCACTATCAGACTTTTTTGGATCTGGCATACGTTTTCTGGATTTTTGAAAGGGTTAGAGGTTTTCGGGAAAGACTCATTTGGAGAAAGTACAAGCACCATTAAAATGATAAAATTAGTAGAGATAAGCTTCTTATACTTTTATAACAAATTCGTTTCTTCTCTCTGATTACATTTTGGTGAAAGACCTGTCAGGGAAGAGTTGTAGTTGCTGTCTTCGAGGGCGAAAACTTTTAAAGAGCGAGGAATGTTGGATGAATGTTCGTTGGCCAAATGCCTCATTGGAGGACCTGACTTTTGATTCAGGGGTCAGGTCAGAATCCTTGTCTGGTCCGTCACTGTTTTCTCCTAGCTTGTTACATTTGGTGAAGTGTCTATGTCTAGAAAGGTGGAAGTTAGAGAAACATGAGGAAAAGCTAAATTGATTTCATTTGGGGCGAACACCTTTAAGGAGGGAATAATTTTAAGGTTAGACGTGTTTTATTGCTGGTAGCCAGATATGTCAAAAGCATTTCAGCGATTTACAATTCTAGATACTTTCATTTATATATCAACTCAATATATTCGAAATACTCAATAAACTCGAAATTAAAAACACTATATCAAATCTGTTTCATATTTGGATGTTTTACTGATTATAGATGATAATGGCCAACTAACAGCAAAACCGTATTATAAAACGAGATGGCTTCAGGCTTTTTTCTCCTCGGCTTTCTTTACCTACATGTATATATACATGTAGTAATATTGATGTGTTACCTGTTTATGGTATTAATTTATGTTCATCGATCAATTTGATACGAGGAACATACTCTGAGAACCAAGAATTTGTAAATCAAGGCAGACTGCCGTTAGTCAGGTTAATGTTACCAGGGACTTCAATAATCCGGATTAAAGTCGGCATATCAAAAATTCTCTTAAAATTATAATATCCTTGTTTACAACATATTTTGGAATAATTTTAGACATATCAAACAGCAACTGAAATCATTTTTGTTATACTGATCCCACCTCCGATGATTTGGAGGTCTGTGTTTGCTCTGCTCCTATTTTGTATTGTTTTTTGGACTTTTGATCTTGTGTGCTGTTCGTTATCTCCATATGTTTCACTTATTCTGATATCGGATTTTCCCATCTACATGGTCAATACAATACAGGCTGAGGAAGGATGTGACAGGCCAACACGGGATGTTTACTCCTGAGCACCTGAACCCGTCTCTGAAATTTTCATGGATCTTTTGTTTTTGTATTTTTCATTTATTCAACATTTACATTTTCAAACGTCTTTGTCCAAGACAAAACTACAAATTATGTAATATCTTTATACCCTCATAAAGTGATTTACCCAGTGACAGTTCTCGTTGCTAAGTAATATACTGTGGAGGGTCTACAGAGACTTCTGAATAAAAATTTTATCTTTTTATATTGAATCAAGGAAATAAGGAAAAACTGGTGTGTGTTTTTTTTATGTTTATATGGTAATGATCATTTTTAGCGAGGTTCATGCATAAATGGCTACTTGTAATATTTGATCAAAATCTTATGACCACGTAAAAGCGATAAAACTTTTCGCTGTAATATTTATTGAATCACCCAAACAAAAGTTCCGCATACGCAATGGAACTTGAACCATACAACACTTGGAGTCATATAGACTCAGATAAATCTTCCAACCGTGTCAAGATGATAAATCATGTTGCTTTAATGCTGCAGAGCCGATGAAACTTGATCCAGTAGATTACGGTGGTATTTTTTAATTTAAACTACACAGGATAGAATATCCATTAAAAATTTTCTATCATGCTTTTGATCCTCTTCCAGATAAAAATAATTAAATTTTTATTCTAAATTTTCTTGATTTTGACCTTGTCCTTTTTTCTTTTTAGCGTGTATAACTTTGTTATGGGTTTTTAATTTCTTACATTTAACTCTACACAACTCTGATTCAACACAAAAGTACTCTCAAGTTGATCATTAAAGGATGCCAGAGTTCCTCATTTAAAACATGTACGTATTCTTCGAAGACCAGGTTGTCCTAAAATCTAGTTGGAATTCCTAGGAGCACTATTAGCCGACCTGTCTTTATACTCCTATAAAGCAGAATTTATTCAGAAACCTCTGCACAAGAAGAACACAATTTAATTTTATTGGTCTTTATTGACTATAGACTCTGTAAAACATACGGTGGTTCCCTGAACGTCTACTGGACAAAACAAACATCTAATTATCACACTCAATCAATGATTTCACTAAATGGAAATTTCTGGGTCCGACTTTATACCTTGTTTAAAAATTTGCAATATTTTTTTTATATTGACCACTGTTCGTTATCTCCACCTTTTCATTCTATAACCCAACCTTAAAATGTGGTTATCATTTTAAACTAGAGGTACTGTGAGCAATGAGCTCACGAAATGATACCCCTTGCCTCCAATATGAATATAATGACAGTGTCCATGTTTTGCTATGGGAAACCCAAAATATGTATCGGATCAAAAAGTAAAATAGGAGATGTACAATGGCATTATGTGATAAAGATTCTGTTAAAGTTTCATCAAATTTCATTCAGTGTTATATGGGGAGTTGCGGATAAGAGATGGGTACCCCAAAGCGTAACAGACAGACGGACGGACATCCCGATTACTAGAATACTCTCCCGCTGATTTTGAAAAATGAAATGGCAATACGTCGCTCTACTTATCTACATAAGAACAGTTAAAAGATTCCTTTAAAATCGCCAATCAGATTTTTAAAACAAGAGGCCCATGGGCCACATCGCTCACCTGAGCACTAAGGGTAGGAAAAAGTAGAAAATGGCTTTTTCTTGTAAAGTTTAAATCCAAAAGTATTCCCATGACCAATCATGGATTTGCTATTTTTTAGAAAATGATTTTTAAAGAATTTTCCTATATATATCTTTAAACTTTGGTCGGTCATTTTGGCCCCGCCCTACCCCCGGGGGTCATGATTTGAACAAATTTAAATCTACACTACTTGAGCATGCTTCCATATAAATATGATGAATTATGGCTTTGTCATTCTTGAGAAGAAGATTTTTAAAGAATTTTCCTATATATTTCTATGTAAAACTTTGGTCGGCCATTTTGACCCCGCCCTACCCCCGGGGGTCATGATTTGGACAAATTTAAATCTACACTACCTGAGCATGCTTCCATTTAAATATGATGAATTATGGCTTTGACATTCTTGAGAAGAAGATTTTAAAAGCATTTTCATATATATTTCTAAGTAAAACTTTGGTCAGCCATTTTGGCCACGCCCTACCTCCGGGGGTCATAATTTGAACAAATTTGAATCTACACTATCTGAGCATGCTTCCATATAAATATGATGAATTATGGCTTTGTCATTCTTGAGAAGAAGATTTTTAAAGAATTTTCCTATATATTTCTAAGTAAAACTTTGGTCAGCCATTTTGGCCCCGCCCTATCCCCTTGTCATAATTTGAACAAACTTGAATCTACACTACCTGAGCATGCTTCCATATAAATATGATGAATTATGGCTTTGTCATTCTTGAGAAGACACTTGAAGATTTTTAATGAATTTTCCTATATATTTCTATGTAAAACTTTGGTCGGCCATTTTGGCCCCGCCCTACCCCTGGGGGTCATGATTTGAACAAACTTGAATGTACACTACCTGAGCATGCTTCCAAATAAAAATGATGCATTTTTGGCTTTGTCTGTTCTTGAGAAAAAGATTTTTAAAGAATTTTCCTATATATTTCTATGTAAAACTTTGGTCGGCCATTTTGGCCCCGCCCTACCCCCGGGGGTCATGATTTGAACAAATTTGAATGTACACTACCTGAGCATGCTTCCAT